TACCTTTAGATCTGCAATTGTGTGTCCAGGGAGATTGAAGTGTTCCCCTACAGGTTTTTGTATGTTGCCATTCCTAATATCTGATTTGTGTCCATTGATTCTTTTATGCAGGGACTGTCCAGTATAGTATGAGTAGGGTATTGTCTATAATTGATGTCCTTTTTAGTATTTGGTTTAAAAACTTAATCAAAACTCTAGGTGGTGTTGGTAAAGGCTCTACAATTTTTAGATACAATGCTTTTCTAGAAAACATCAGAACTAATTGCATGAGGAAATCTTTCAGTCTTGTCCTGATGTAAGGTAACTTCTCAGCTCCTAATTGGCTGCCTACCAGCTGATTTAGGATGCTAAGAGGGAGAGTAACTATTTAGCCCCTGTCTTCCCTTGCCTGCTAAGCTAAGGCTTGGGGAAGAAGTTAGCATGTCTCACTTTCTCCAAGGTCTAACACCCTCTGCATCACAGGGTTAATTGTATGTTGAGCTGTAGCACTAAGCATTAGGTGACTGTGCTCTGCAAGAGGAAGCTAGAGGCATGCAGGTAAGCATGACGGTTGGTAGGCTTTCGGTATAGGGTGGTGATTATGTGACCATCACTTATTTGCACCGGTGTAGGTCTCTGTCTGAGGGGTTGGAGCATATGTGGTTGTACTTCAGTGCTTGGCTGTAAACAATGGATCATGTGGTGTGTCCAGGATGGAAGCTGGAAGCATACAGGTAAGCATGGCGGTTGGTAGGCTTTCAGTATAGGGTGGTGTTTATGTGACTGTCACTTATTTGCACCGTGATGTCCAGGAAATGGACCTCCCGTGTAGATTGGTCCATGCTGAAGTTGATGGTGGGGTGGAAGCTGTTGAAATCGTGGTGAAATTCTTCCAGAGTCTTCTTCCCATGGGTCCAGATGATGAAGATGTCATCGATGTAGCATAGGTAGAGAAGGGGTGTGAGTGAACGAGAGCTGAGGAAGCGTTGTCCAGGTCAGCCGTAAAAATGTTGGCGTATTGTGGGGCCATGCGGGTGCCCATCGGAGTGCCACTGGTCTGGAGGTATATATTGTCACCAAATCTGAAATAGTTGTGTGTGAGGATAAATTCGCAGAGTTCAGCCACCAGTTGTGCTGTGGCATCATCAGGGATACTGTTCCTGACAGCTTGTATTCCATCTATGTGTGGGATGTTTGTGTAGAGAGCCTCTACATCCATGGTGGCTAGGATGGTGTTTTCTGGAAGATCATCAATGCATTGTAGTTTTCTCAGGAAATCAGTAGTGTCACGGAGGTAACTGGGAGTGCTGGTGGCGTAGGGTCTGAGTAGAGAGTCCACATATCCAGACAGTTCTTCAGTGAGAGTGCCAATGCCCGAGATTATGGGGCATCTGGGATTTCCAGGTTTGTAGATCTTGGGTAATAGATAGAACAACCCTAGTCGGGGCTGTAAGGGTGTGTCGATTTGTTCCTGTGCTTGTGCAGGGAGTGTCCCGAGTAGATGGTGCAGTTTCTTAGTGTATTCCTTAGTGGGATCTGAGGAAAGAGGCCTGTAGAATTTGGTATTGGAGAGTTGTCTGGCAACCTCCTTTAGGTAGTCAGGCCTGTTCAGGATGACTACAGCACCTCCTGTGGATGTGGATGGCATTACATTCTGCACTACTGAGGTTACAAGACAAGCGATGCTGTTTTTCGGTTCTCCCTTTATCTAGAGAGTTAGATCCCATGCACTTGGGTCAACACAGGAGATCTTTGAGAGGCCCCGGAAATGACAGATGCAGGCAAGGTTTGAAATCAATCAAGCAGGTTTATTGTCAAATGCAAAGCTCTACCAGTTGGTAACAGAGATCAGTACAATGTTACACCACTGGGCACTATGGCCCGCTTTGACAAGGTACCAACACTGGGCAGGCCTATTGCCATAGAACAAATATTAGCAGCAGTTAGTCAAAGTTAAGCTACTGTGCATTCTGTAAGTTTAGGCAATGACACCTACCGTTCAGGCACCTAGTGAGCCCCCCGTAATGTCGGCCGGAGAGCACCCTTTGCGATGTCCTTTTACAGACAGGGAGAAACAATTTACATCATTTCTTTACGTACCAGGTTACGTTGCTTAGTTACCACCCCTCACCTTACGGAAGCGGGGCTTACTTACTATCCTTCATGCTGTCAGTTCTGACCTGGTCCTGAATCTAGGTCGGTATGTGCATTAGTTTTTAGGGAGTCTTTGTACCAAGATATTTCTTATTAAGATGTTCCGTTACTCCCCTTTGGCTTACAGTCTGTACCCAGTGCCTCCCTGTATCCTTCCATGCTCGACCTAACTTACACAATTACACAGTTATCAGTAGGCCTCTTTCTTGGCTCCTGTGTTACTGAACCAAAGTCTTGCTCACTAGATTGCAGGCCTGTTGCTGTTTTCATGCTCCGGCCTCTGTTTAGGCCTGCTGACTCCATGTTACTGACCGTCAACTTACTACAGGTACTTTGTCCCCTCCAAGGGGTATGAGGGCCTCTATTCCCACCTGCCCCTGGACTCTCTCGTAGTACAGACTGTACCTCTCTAAACCAGGATCTCTGGTCTGGCAATATCCGTGGTCTGCCAGGTCTGCAGATGTTCCAAGACCAGAGAGTCTCCATGGAGGGCATGAGCCTGAGAGCCCTGCAGGCCGGCAGTGCAGCGGCCAGTAGGGCCAGGAAACTGGCACATGGCAGCAGGACTGCACAGTAGGCCCAGGAAGCCAGATGGGGACAAGAAGTCAACAGGGCCAGTGTCAGGGGGAAGCTGTCTGTGAAGTTTGCAGTCAGGGTGGGGCTGGGGCAGCTAATGGCATAGGGGCCAGAAAAGGCCTCCTTGGCCCAGCAAAATTCCTCATCTAGAACCAGTCAGGTACCGAGGGTGCTAGACGAGGGAGGCCCAACTTGTAGATGCTGCTTACCAGAGGGCGAGAGAGAGGTTTCAAGGTTCCTCCCCTAAGAACAGAGGGTATGTCCACACTACCCTCCTAGTTCGAACTAGGAGGGTAATGTAGGCATACCGCACTTGCAAATGAAGCCCGGGATTTGAATTTCCCGGGCTTCATTTGCATAAGCGGGGAGCCACCATTTTTAAAACCCCTCTGGTTCGAACCCCATGCAGCACGGCTACACGGGGCTCGAACTAGGTAGTTCGGACTAGGATTCCTATTCCGAACTACCGGTACACCTCGTACTTGCGGTAGAACTCTACCTCTGCTCCCAGGACACTCTACTAGGGCTCACACTTCCTCCATAGTATTTTCCGCCCAGATCCCCAGCCAGAAGATCTCTAGGGCTGCAGCCTAGCCCTCACTACACACCTTTGCTGTGTACTATGTAATTATACAGCAATCTAAAGACAATGCAACCTCTGGGAGGACAGTGCTCCAACCAGTGCAGAACACTGACCCCAACTCCTGGACTTGGGCTGTGAGTCACCTGATTGGAATACACATGAACAAGCACTCGAAGAAGAAAAAATGGTTACAGTAAAGTCTCGATTATCCGACCTTCGTTTATCTGACATTCCGTGTTATCCAACATGCCACCTGTCACATCATGGCAATGGACTCCAGGGACGCTGGACAATGGCCTTTCTTTCCCTTTCCCTTTTCCCTGTTCCATGGCTGGACGGAGCTCTGGTTGGCAGGTCTGCAGCTCCCTATTGTGGCTGAAGAATTTGCCATCATCAAAAAAGCTTTTTTCCCGTTTTTCCTGTTAACTGTTTCTGGGGAAAGCGGCGAGCACCTTGCCCTGCGTCACGTCATCGCCAGGTGACATGGAGTGGTGCAGGGCGAGGGCTGTGCTTCCGCCGCAGGGCAGAGCCCTGGATCTTACTCCCATTTGGGGGTAAATATAAGGGCTGGTCAAGGCAGCAGATTCAGGAGGTTTAGAACTGGATCTCGCAAGGTATTACAAAGTTCAAATTTATAAAATTAATTACTGCATTAAAGAATTTTCCGTATTACCCGATATTTCCTTTATCCGACCATCCTCTGTTCCTATTTAGGTCGGATAATCGAGACTCTCCTGTACTCCCCTTTCGTAACTGTTGTTCTTTGAGATGTGGAGTTCATGTCCGTTTCAATACCCACTCTCCTTCTCCTCTGTCAGTGTAGCTGGCAAGAAGGAATTGATGAACAGGTGGGTTGACAGTGCCCTATATTGGGTGCCACTCCAGGGAGTGCCCAGCGCAACCCTACGGCTAACTGCTAGGAGGAAAATCTTCCAGCTACTGTGCACATGGGCGCGCTCATACCTGATTGGAATGGACATGAACAACACATCTTAAAGAATGACAGTTATGAAAGACAAATAACGATTTTTTTGTGTATTGTGGCTGCTTGTAATTGGCCATTGACCAAGGGAATTAATAAATATGGCAATTACTAGTACAAAAATACAGATGTTTGTGTACCTTGTTTTCCTCTTTTGAACTCTCTCTGGTGTCATTCTCCTGGTCAAATATGACCACAAAAACATATTTTAAAAGAAAGCAAATATCCAGGCTTTTAAACTATGTAATTTGAGCAGTATTCACGATCATCTGTGCAATGTCCTGCTCATTTCACAAAGTCCAAGTGTATTATTCCAGATCTGAACTCTTAGCTCGAGATCTGACAAAGTGCTGTGGTTGTCATTGGAGGTGCTCAGAGCACAGAGTTTCTGCTGATGGCAATGAGAGGATGTTCGGCATGCACCTGGAGGAACACAGCAGCATCCCAGAAGCAGACAAGCTGGATTGGGTCCTTAAGGCTATCTAGAATACTGTAAAGAAAAGTCTTCAGGTGATTGATTTCTGAATCATTTTGTAACATTAATCATTTACATATATTAAACAGGAGAGACTTTCTTTTATCGTTATGAAAATGAAAATTTCACACTTACGTGCAACGAAACCTTGGCTAATGGGAGCAACGAAACAGTGTGGTATGAAATTCGAGAACATCTTCAAGTATTCAACGCAATCACCTGTAGTCCCATATCTCAAGGGACAAACGAACAGCCTTATAATAGAAAGCGTACAAACCGATTATCAGTTTCTACTTCCCAAAGTGGTGGGGTATTTGCATGTGAACAACTTAAAGACACAGGAACATCAGGGACTCTCCCAATTTTTGCCAATGTGGCTCATTGCAGACGTTATAACTTTTTTATTGTGGTGATAATAAACATGACTGCAGGTGAGTGCCTTTCGTGGCGGGTAGGGGGGTTATTTTCATCAGTAAGTTCCAGAGGCCAGAAAGAGAGTTAGTGAGATTAAGAGGAGATTATTCAGATAATTCAGGACTGAGGACCAGATTCTGCCCCTTTTACAATGAATAATACCATACACCACCAGCATTCCCCTGGCTTAAATAAGGAACAATAATGGAGGATGTATTATGTCAGTGAGGGTGAGTGAATTTAGCTTTGAATGAATGAGGTATCTGAACTAGACTGAGGAAAGTAGTGAGCCAAAGTACAATTTTTGAAAAAAGAAAATAAATTAAAACAAATATCTTGTCATTGACTAGAGATAGTTTTGGCCATACTAAGTCTACTTGCCCTGATATCTACATACATTCCAACTCAGAGGCCTACTCAGGAAGTCTTTATTCAGTTTTTGTTCAATCTTTTTTTTGGGAGGTATTCTCCCACTTATTTCAGAAGAAGAAGTTGCTTTTTTCTTCCCACTGGAAACACTCTTTTGTAAAGATGCTGGTACAGTGTAACTGCCACCTTTGTTCCTGAAAGTTGGTAGGTGAAGGGATCTTTGTTGATGGCGGTTGCTGCGGCCCCTGCTGCGCTACTGGGGCTCTGGTGCTGGTCCCAGCCTGAGCTCCAGCGAGCTCCAAGCCACCAGACCTCTTGCCACTGGGGCTCCCAGCCAGGACTCTCTGTTCCAGGAACACCCATGGCCCTGCTGGACCATGGATGCTGCTGGACGAAGGCGTCCCAGTTTTGGGAGGTCCAACTTGTAGTTGAAAATTTGACATTTAAAATACTTCAGAATCTCACTCTACCGGCCATTGTTTAAAATGTATTCATGCACAATCCAAAATGACTGATCTTTAACTGTCCTGTTAAACGTACACTGCAATTCCACTGCTTTATCCAGAAAATATTAATCTTTAATTGCTGTTTCACAATTTCACATTTTCACAATTTCAGCCATTTCTAATAACTATTATCATGTCCTCTTTAGTCTCCTTTTCTTCAAACTAAATAAATCCAGTTTTTTAAATCCTCCCTCATATTTCCATTTAAATCCTCCTTCATAGTGCCTCCTTCATATTGCCATGTTTCTAATATTTTTAGTTGCTGTTTTCTGGACTTTTTCTAATTTATCCTCATCTTTCCTGAAATGCAGCCTCCAGAACTGGATGTGATACTCCAGTTGAGGCCTGATCTGTGCAGAGTAGAGTGGAAGGGTTACTTTGTCTGTTCCTAAGTCCCAGAGATTTTTTCAGTGTAACTGGACATACATCTGCAGGAGGAGTAGCGTAGTTAGTACCTCTAAGAGCATGCCCCACTGGTGCTTGCAGCAGGAGTCAGAGGTGTTGTCCCTGTATTCACCCCAGTCCCCTCTGCTCCCCTGGATCTGCTTCCTGCTGCCAATGAGTGTGGGGGTGGCTTTACCCCTTCCTGCAAGCCTCTTCCCCCAAGCAATACAGCTGGGAGCTGGGGGAGCAGAATGGGCTGGGGACAAGTTTTTCTGTTTCTTGCCGCTGGTGAGTGTGGGAGCAGGTGTGAGCCCTGCTGCCAGTGCCAGGTCCCATGCTAATCCCCCAGGTTGCTCTGGGCCCTGCAGGCCTCTGCACCAAAGTCCACAGCCAGGGTCGGTTGCCCCAACTTGTCCAATGATTGGGAAGGTTCTGCATGCTGGCTGCTGGCCTATTGCCACTGCCCCCATGACATCTGGGGGATTCATGACCCCTCTGTGTCCTCCCACTTTTCACCCTGGTCCGGTCCATGAATTATTATTTTGCTAACCACCAAGAGACTGAACATGCAATGCTAAGCTGAGCACCTTCAGCTATCCCTGGCTTCAACGGAAAGTGAGGGTGACGACTACTTTGTAGAAGGTACTCAGACTTCACAGAATTGGGCCCCAAATGGCTAGTTGGAGCTGACTTCTAGCCAATAGTACAGGTATTTGCTCCTGTTAATGTAAAAATGCCATGTAAACTATTTATTAAAATAAAATTCTCCCAGCCCTACTTCAAATAGGAATGAAACAAAGTTTTTGTATTGAATTCTGTATCTGAGATAGTGTTTTCATTGCAAAATTTTCCTACTTCTAAGATTCCTTTTAAAGACTACACATGTTACAACATGCAACCGTGTATGTTTTTCATATCGTTTGTGTTTTTCTGTATTGCAGAGAGCCAGATGTTTGAGAACATTTCTGCAAAATCATATGATAATCGTTTAGTGCAAGAAGGTGGTAACATCACTCTTTCTTGTGAATTTCAAACAAAGAGCAATGGAATCAATGTTGCATATTGGATCAAATATACAGAAACAAGCAAATGCCTGTCTTCTCTTCAGAAAGGAACAGAACTTTCCTATAATCACCACTGCTGTATTGATGAGATGATCAAAGGACGACTATTGAATCATACAAGCTTAGACTCAGACAACAAACATATAGTCCATAATATAACCATCTTGAATGTTACTTACTCTGATAGTGGAACTTATTTATGTGTTGTAAATGCCTGGTCAAAAGGGAAATATGTTTGGAAGATTGCAAATAATCTTTCTATAGAAGGGAGGAATGAAATTCCATGTAAGTCTGCAGTTTTGAAGCTGGGATTGGTAACAGAGTGTCTTATAATTTTGCCAAACTTTAGTTATTTAGGATTAATTTTTCCATGCTGGGTTTCTACTACAGAATGAATTTTTCTGGGATACTTCAATGAAAATGGTCCAGCCATTTTAGAGAACAGACCATGAGGCTGTTTTGCCATGTTAAAAATACTGTTGACATTTTCTTTGAACAAATCTGGTTCCCAGTGCTTTGGAATAGGTGTTGTCATTTGACAGGAGAGCAGCCTTCATGTTAGCCTAGTATCTTTTAACACTCCCATGAAAATGTGCTCAGATTTGCCCAAGTTAAAAGCCTTTAAAAATCACAGTTTGTAGATGCTCAGTAAAGACACAATCATACCGGGATATAAAATATATAGAAAGGATAGAGCAGGCCGGGTGGGTGGCGTAGTGGCACTGTATGTGAAAGATAATGTAGAATCAAATGAAATAAAAATATTAAGTGAATCAACATGTTCCATAGAATCGCTATGGATAGAAATTCCATGCTCCAATAATAAGAAATTAGCAGTAGGGATATATTACTGACCACCTGACCAGGACAGCGATACTGACATAGAAATGCTGAGGGAGATTAGAGAGGCTACCAAAATAGAGAACGCTATAATTATGGGGGATTTTAATTACCCCCATCATCACCATCATGGCTTGGCTTCGCGAACTAAGATCTAGGAAGGAAATCCACGTCTTCTGCAGGCACGCTGGTGGCTGACGAGGCCTATGCGGGACAGGCAGGTCCTGCCACAACAGGGACACTACAATTTTACAACCTTGCAGTGTGAGCCCTGTGAGCATGAGTCAGCTGACACAGGCCAGCTACAAGTGTTTATTGCAGCTTGGACTACTCGCAAAGATCACTTAAAAATCATGGTAATCATCGGGAATCTATGTAGATTCTTCCCCTTTACCACATTATCTCCTTGTGCGTGAATTAATGAGACACCCCTATTACTGATTTTTCTAGAAAAATTGAGTTATTCTCATGGGACTCACCTTAAGACCAGACAACCCATTTACCCATCCTTTGTCTTTAATGTATCATTTATCTTTAAGCAGCAACATCCACAAACTGCGGCGAAATAGGGGAGAAAAAGAGCAGGAAAATCCCATCAAAGGGTTTGTGCTAAATGAGGCAAATCTTAGTGGGCTGTACGTGCCCCATACTTAGCTTTTGATGTCATTTGGGTGTTGCATATAATGACCCATTCAGTTCATGTCTTTATTCAAGCCATGAGAGAGAGTATCAAATTTGCATGAAGGCCAGTTCCGCAGACTCTCTCTAGTTGATTCCTAAAATTACTTTGTAAGAGAATAGCCATCTTTAAATTAATTAATGAGTGCCATTTATTAACATTTATTAAAACTTTGACAGATTTTTTCTCCTCCCACTCTACCCTCTTTTTCTGCTTTATAATTGAACTCTTGCTCCATATTTGTCATCTGAAGAAGTGGGTTGTGCCCAGAAACCTCATGATACTATCTATATATTTTTGGTTAGTCTCTAAGGTGCCACAGGATCAGTGTTATTTTTAAAGTTTTTTTTCCAGTTACAGACTAACACGGCTGCCCTCTGAGACTTTTAATAATGTTTACTGTAACTTTTGAGCATCCAACAGATTATTAGTTATGTCTGTATGGAAAGCTAGAAGAAATAAGTAATAAGTTTTAATAAAATATTTTTCAAATTATTTCATAGCCAAAAAGTATTCAGTCTATCCTAAAATGTCATTTTTCAGTAATCAGAATATGTACCAAATGTAATATTTTTAGCTTAAGAGTGCACTCAATTAAAAAAGCTAAAGACCATTTAGTGAAAAGTTCTATTTAAAATATTTCCTAGAGTCAATAGCCATAATCAGTGAGTTTGCCAAATTTCAGTATTCGAGGCTAGTAAGTCAGCCTACTACAAGTATTACATTTCAATAGAAATATTTCACCCTTAAAAAACTGCAGCTTACCACCGCCAAAATGATTGTGCTATTTTAAAATATACAGCAATACTCTACAATAGTTTAGATCAGGAGTTAATGATAATTTCATAACATTAAAACTACAGGTAGAATTCTAAAATAATTATGATTGTTCATAATGAAATTTGTACAGGCCACAAATTGACACCAATAGTACGATAAATGTGGTCTATTAATTGTATATATGTAATGGTAATTATATTTATAAGCTTTTCACAATGCAGTATACCTTATACACTCAATTTTTTAATCATCTGAATGCATTACTCAATTTTAATGTAATGCAAAAAGCTGTTATGATGGGAATAGAAATAGAACTGGTAAAAAAATTAATCAAAATATATTTTTCCCATACATTTCTTGATAAATAATTTTTAGATCCTCATTTATAGAAGTACTACAGTGCATGACAAATCAGATAAGAGATCTTGGAGTTATCGTGGACAGTTCTCTGAAAACTTCCACACAGAGTGCAGCGGCGATCAAAAAGGCAAACATGATGCTAGGAATTATTAGGAAAGAGATAGAAAATAAGACCCAGAATATCTTACTGCCCCTGTATAAAACTATGGTACGCCCACATCTTGAATACTGTGTACAGATGTGGTCTCCTTACCTCAAAAAAGATATTTTGGCCTTGGAAAGGGTTCAGAAAAGGGCAACTAAAATGATTAGGAGTTTGGAACGGGTCCCATATGAGGAGAGGTTAAAGCGACTGAGACTTTTCAGTTTAGAAAAGAGGAGACTGAGGAGGGATATGATAGAGGTCTATAAAATCATGAGTGGTGTGGAGAGGGCTGATAAAGAAAAGTTATTTATTAGTTCCCATAATAGAAGAACTAGAGGACACCAAATGAAATTAATGGGTAGCAGGTTTAAAACTAATAAAAGAAAGTTCTTCTTCACACAGCGTGTAGTCAACCTGTGGAACTCCTTGCCAAAGGAGGTTGTGAAGGCTAGGACTATAATAGAGTTTAAAGAGAAGCTGGATAAATTCATGGAGGTTAGGTCCATAAAAGGCTATTAGCCAGGGGATAAAATGGTGTCCTTGGCCTCTGTTTGTCAGAGGCTGGAGAGGGATGGCAGGAGACAAATCGCTTGATCATTGTCTTCGGTCCACCCTCTCTGGGGCACCTGGTGCTGGCCACTGTCGGTAGACAGGATACTGGGCTAGATGGACCTTTGGTCTGATCCAGTACGGCCATTCTTATGTTCTTATGACTTCTTAGATTTCAGCAACTGAATTCTCCAATGTTTCACTGCAGAACTGAGACGAACTTTCCCTGCAATGGCAGGTCTAGCCTGCAGTGCGCCATGCTGCATCTGGTTCCAAGCAGTTGAACTGAGGCTGATGTCCGGTGCTCTCAGTGACACCCCCACTGGGCCCAGACTTTACAGAATAGGAGGAAGGCAGAGGTGATAGGAGCCAGTTGTGGGGAGGAAGGAGAGAGCAAAGTGTGACAGTAGTTTGGGGTCTTACCTACTTGTTCCAGCATAACACACAGTCAGAGATCATGAAATCCTAGCTCCATTGAGTTAATGGCAAATATTCCACTGAATTCACCTGAGACCGGATGTCACCCATAATTACTATGGGACAAAATCAAGGTTTGCCCAGACATGAAGGAATTTGAGGCATGGCATGGATTGCAGTGGGGGGACAGCACAAAGCTCTGTAGAGCTTCTTCACTCTCTCCCCTCCCAATCCCCACCCAGTTCTCTCTCTGTAAGCAGGTGAATGGAACAGTTGTACCTACAAATGACTACAAATGGAGGCTGGTTCGAAGCCCTTAAAAATGTGAACCTTGGTATTTATTTGTTTTACAGTTGTGCTGTGTTAATCCATTCAAATATTAGAATATTCTACAGTAATCTCTCAAGATACTTCAGTATTGCTACTCTAAAATATATTGTATTGTCTCATTACAGTAGAATAATGCAGTATTTTCTCATAAAATAACTTGATTTCTGTAAGTTAATTTATCTGTTGTTTTTATTAACAATCCTTTAATACTTTAATCAGGAATCATCCACATTAAGGGGTTGCTGAATGTGTATTATCCACATAGTTGTTAAACATTGTTTGATCGCTTGAAAAGTGCTATCTGTATAATGGAGATATGATGGTAAAGTGTTTTGTTCACCATCTGGATAAATTTTTCAAGATTAACTAATCCCGGTCCTATTTTAGTCTCTCCTTCAGTGCCATTCCATTCTGTGCCATTGTATGCTACGATTAGATCGATCGAAGGGATTATCATTATCAGTGGGATAGTATGGTTGATCTATAAAAAGAAAAAGAATGGCAGCTCAAAAGGTAGGAAAAGTAAAATTAGTAAGTGATATCTGTAGGAATTTTTTAGCTATTGAAACTTTACAGTGTGTTTTATTTATCTGTTACAGGAAAGTCATCTGCACAACTTCCCAGGTATGGTCTTGAATGGATATAACCAATGAAATATTCGTATAATTTTTAGTGGTTTTTCCAGCTGATAGATATTACTAAATGGATTCTTTCCTTATCTTTTTATTTTAGCGCTCAGGCTGCTGTTGAAATCCCAGGAGATGAATGTGAGTAGGAAGTTTTTGATAAACTTGGTTGATGTGATTGTATTACTTAACACATTTTGAGAATTGTGCACTATGGATTTCTTAGACTGTCCGTCCATGGTATAATGTTTTTAAACATCAAGTAATGCCATACTTTTTTTCAATTAAGGCACTGGAATAAGATGAGGGTGATCTGAGTTAAAATCTTGGCTCTCTTACTTACATTGTCTCCCTATGACCTTGAGCAAGTGACAGAATCTCTGTATGCCTCAGTTTCTCCTCAGTAAAATGAAGATTACAATGCTTCCTGCTCCCTTTCGGGTGCCAAAATGGAGTCACGTATTCCATGTTCCGACATCAGAGTGATGGGGCCATGTAAGAACCTGGCAGCTAAGTGATTCTGAGTCTTTTTCCTCACCACTGGAGGTGGGGTACTGTAAAGAGTAATCAGCACATGGCTTAATTCTGGGCTGAATAGAATAGAGAAGAATTCCATTAATTGGTGTTAGGAGAAATCATTATTTAACGTTCTTTTCAGAGAGAGCTAGATTGCATTATATTTCGTTGATTGATTTATTTTTGTTGACGTTTTACTTTAAATCTTGGAGTTTCATAACCTCTTTGATACAGAGTAATTCTTTTATAGGTTCCCCAAATGCTGTGAGCAGTAGAAAAGACTTGCAAAGAAATGAAGTGTTGTATTCAGTTGCAGCAAGCCCATATGAGAACCCAAATGCAGACTGTTGTATGGTGGATAACACTGAAGTATCTGGCAAAGGACCTGGAGATAAAATACATACCGTCTATGCAATAGTGCAAGAATAGCTGTTCTTGTAAGTGACCTATAAGAGGATGTGTTATTTTTTACAAATTATATTACTAATAGAACCACCCAGGTACGTCACACTAGTACAATTAATAGGGGGCTATGTGAGTACGCACTAATTGACAGGACATTTGCATTTAATTGTATGAATCTACTTAGGGGTCTTTTTCTTAATACAGCAACATAGAACTTTAGTTATCCCCTATATCTGCCCCTTTTTGCACTGTGTAGCTATAGACTCAGATTTTCAAATCTGAAGCAAAAAGAACAGGCTAATCTGGGAATTGTTAAACTGGAGCAAACCTTACATTGATCACGCACATTGGACAGCAATGACATTTCAGCTAGTGGAAAACATGGGTGAGAGGGAAGGCACAAGGAATAGTGCATGAGTTTGCCATCACTGCAATCTCTGTGATCTCCTGAGTGCAGGAACTGCTTCCTGGGACACAAGCAGCCCAAAAAAATGGAATAGGAGAAATGATATGGTCATGCCCCACCCACTCTAGCCTGCCCTCTCCTTTGGGGGAGCAAAGCATTTGCATTTGTCCAGGAAGGCAGTGGAGTTCTAGGAGACAGTGGATAAATTGCTTTTCTGTCACTTATGGCTTTGAATACACAAAGAAATAACTTTTTATGGTTGAAGGATGTGGTGCTCAGAATTTTCAGTGTGGTATTCTTGAGTGTTGGTGCCACTATCCTGTCCTGTATTCCTCTTGAGGACTAATTTGCCTTTGTAAAACAGCCATGAAATCCCCACTACTACTCTTTCTTAGAGTAAAAAATCACTTTGAGGCATGTGGGCCATAGTTCCTGGTCATATGTAATTATTTTGATGGTAGCGTTACTGACACCTGACAGGAAAATTAGTATGAAATTGTTTCTGAAACAGGATAATGAAAGCTGAACTATATGACTTTCTCTACAACCACATTAAAAACAATCTAATGACCATGAAATTGTTTTTCTTTGCAAAGGAGCTGAAGAATGGAAGTCAGTATGAAAATAATGATCAACTTTTGACTGAATAGCTTTGACTGCTGAATTTTGACTATTCAATGAGCTATCTTACAGATATTAATGGAAAGATCCACTGCTGATACAAAGTCTCATAACTTTTATTAAGTTATGACAGTTTGTACTAGAAGAACATCAGAATTGTCATACTTGGACCATTGGTTCACATAGTCCAGAATCCTGTCTAAAAGCTGTAACCTTCACCAGATCCTTCACAAGTAGATTCAAGGAGAATCCCAATAATAGACAATTGTGGCACAACTTGCTCACAGAGAAAGTTTCTTCTCTAAACCTATCTGCTAGAGGTTGGACATATACACTGAAGCAAGAGAGTTTTATGGTCTTCACACATTTTATCCTTATCTAATATACATTTGTAAGTGTATGAAAATCTATACAAATGAATGTTTGCATTAGGAACAAAGATCTTTATTTTCCTCCAGTTTTATATTGGTGTAATTCTGTTGGCCCCTCTGGAGTTGCTCATGCTTTACACTGGCATAAGGAGGAAGAAGATCAGAAGCTTAGATATGCAACTGTGTTTCCTACAGCAGGCAGAATCAATTAAGGACACTATTAGGACCTACCATAAGTTTTTCTTCTTCAAAAAAGCCACATTGAATATAATGTTGTCAAGGGACACTAGGGTTCTTTATGTGTTCCCAGAAAAGGTACAGCAGCCACCATGTGCCAGGAATGAGGGCCTGCAAGAGAGTCACTTTCCTAGTAAGCTGAAGCAAAAGAGATTTAAGGTCCCTAGTCTTTGTTCCCCTGGGATACCCTGCAGACAACGGCCCAGGATTGCTGCGGGCAGAGTCTGCTCTGTAGGAGGCGGAGCGTCCTCTGTTCACAGGAAACTTGGACCCCCACCATGGAAAAAGGCTACTTCCAGACAAGCCTCTGGCTGAGGCCAGCCTGGGGTGCCATGGACAGAGGCTGCTTCACCTCCTAGCTCAGACCCCTGCAGACATGGGCTGCTGCCACCCCACGCTGCTGCTTTGATATCAAAGGCAGTACTACGGGGTAGCAGGCAACCAGTCTGCATGTGGAGCTTATTTTTAAACTGGGGCAGCAGCTTGAGGTGCTGGGGGCTTCCCGGGAGGGGGGCTGGAGCACACTGGCTGCTGGCCCCACCCCAGGGAATGATTGAATAGTCCTGTAACTGGTAAGAATTCATAAATATTCAATTAACCAGCTCTAATCTCCTTATTGTAAACCCTGGAAATAATGGAAGCTATTTCAACCCAAGGGGTGCAGCAGCACCTGTATCTTTGAAGTGGTCTGGCCATGGTGACCAGATAGCAAGTGTGAAGATCAGGACACTTAATATTTGGGGCTAAGGGTGAGGAATAGTTGCCCATATAAGAAAAATTCTCTAGTCTGGTCACTCTAGGTATGGGGAATCTGGGGTCTGAACTCACCCAGAAGGCCTTAATGGTGCATTCTTGAATAAAATAAGCTGAGTCCCACAATTCTTATTATCAGGGGGACCAACAGACTTGCCGGTCTGCATACCTGGAAGGGGTGGGGCCTCAGATGAAAGGGGTAGTATTGGGGGGCAGCCAGTCATTAGTGCAGCCCGGAGTATGGCGCACAACCTCACTTCCCAAGGCAGCTTTGAGACTATGTCTACACTTCAGGCTTTTGCCAGCAGAGAGTATGCTAATGAAGCACTCGTTAGCATTTGTCCCGCTGTCATTTGCATATTGTCTGCCGATACTTTTTGCACAAGAAGTTTTTGCGCAAAAACAAGCAGTGTGGATGGGTCCATTTTGCACAACCCCCCCCCCTTTTGTGCAAGATCCTTATGCCTCAAAAAAGGAACCCTGGTCCTTTTGAATTGCTGGTCCCAAGGCAGGTGCCCCATCCCTCTCTCCTCCTGACAAAAGGTGATTGGAGTTTTTCTTGTGCTCAGAGGATCATATCCAGTCGTCACTGAAGCCATTAAAAAAACTCTTTTTGACTATAATGGGAGCTGAATCAGACTCTAAATAAAGACAGATTGTATTGCTTTGATGTCATAGCTTTGCAATAAAGCTTTCTGATGATATAACTAAAATATATGCATTCATTTTGCTAGCTGGCACTGGGATTTTTGCTACATTCATTAAGAACAATGTAATAGACTCAATACAGTAAGTAGAACAGAACATGATATGCATTTGTATGCCTCTGATTTTAATTTCCATTTTGTGTCATGTTTTTTTTTTATAAGTGATACCAGTGAATTGCAAGAGGGGTTATAAAATCCATGGAATTGTGATACCGTGTAATATTACAGCTTTATAAAAATTGCAAATAAAATTAATACTTTATAAACTAGCTTTATTTGAACTTGCTGTTATGTAAATGTTAACTGATTCCAAGGACGTGTTTTTTTTTTGTGGACAATATTAATATTTATTCACTTCACGAAGGGCTTGTGAGAGTTCATCAATTCATATTTTTACTGGGCTTTCAACATGTAAAGTCTATAGCAAGGGTTCCCACAATGTAGTTTTTGGTGGCCTCTTGAGTGCAGCCACCAATTATTGCTAGTCGTGTGAACTAGTACTCAAAGAAGAAAAGACTGTTTCCTGTTCTTGTAACTGGTGTTCTTCGAGATGTGTTGTTCATGTCCATTCCAATACCCACCCTCCTTCCCCACTGTTGAAACCGAGGGAGGGATAGGGTCAGCGGTAGTATAAAAGCACTGATAGTGGTATAAAACCACTCTAGGCATATCCACAGCTTACTCTACGGGAGCTGCTAAGGGAAAAATTTTCCAGTGTTCATACACATGGTGCACATACACCTGATTGGAATGGACGTGAGCAACACATCTTGAACACCAGTTAGGAGAACAGGTAACTGTTTCTTTTGTAATCCAATTCCCCCTTTTTTTTTTTTTTTTTTTGAACAGCTGTGGATGTGACCAAAGGAGTTATTTTTAAAAAGTTGCTGACAGACCTGTCCCTGGGCATGCTGGTGCATCACGTGCCATTGTTGCCATCAGCCCGGCTGCACTGTCTGCAGGCTGCCCTCCAGGAGGTCCATCGCGGGGGTGTCAGGATCCAGGGGGCCCTGCAGGAAAGCTTCCACCCTGAGAAGTGCCAACAGTCTCTCTGGTCTGCCCCACCGGAGGCTTGTGCCCCATTCCTCCCTCTCGTCCTTCCACTTACCCTTCCCTATCCCCCGCTTCCTGGTGTCAAATAAAAGACACGTATTTTCAAAAATAACTCTCTTTATTTAACACAGCTGGGGAGGGGGAATGAAACTCTGGGGAGACAGGAGAAAGGAGGTGGGAGAGGGCAGGAGAGAGGGTGGGAGAGGGGAGGGGAAAACCTGGGAGG